GAAAGAAAGAAAGAAAGAAAGAAAGAAAGAAAGAAAGAAAGAGTTTATTTGGGAAATCATAAGGTGGTAATTAATCTGAAGTTACTTCAGCCTAACTACAGCGAGGGGCCTGACCTTTGCTCTCCTCCTTTCTGGAGAGATCAAATTCCCGAATGAAAGAGGTCAAACTGAGAAAGGACGCTGGAGAGGAAGGAAGGATGGGACCTTTGAGAGCCTCCGGAGGTCTTTGGAGCTAAGCAGAAGAGGGACCATGGACTCAACTCCCACAGGGCTCTGGGCTGCCTGGTTGGAGGGTCCTGCCGCATTCCACCGACACCCCACGCCCCCGAGAGGCAGCCACTCTTTTGCTTACTCTTCCAGCTGAAAGCAGTGGGCGGCAGTCAGCACCCAGCGAGCGCTGAGCAGGGTTCCTCCGCAGGCATTGATGTAGCCCAACTGCGATGGTATCTGGAAGCAGACCTGCCAAGGCCACGTTCCCGGGAGAGCATCTGTGCCCCCCACAATCCGCAGCAGGGTGTGGCTGGCTGCCAACGGACGCCGTCCACAAACGCCACTGAAGAGAAGCACAAACAGAGAATGGTCAGGAGGTGAAAGCTGTAAATAACGACCCTCCCCACCCGGGAGCACAATGTCATGTCCCTGTCGGAGCCTGAATCTGCGGAGGAAGATGAGCTGGAGTTGGAGCCGAGGGAGATGGAGGGAGCGGGGTTGGCTTCATTGGCTTCGGAGGAATGTGGGGAGGAGGCAGGCCAGGCCCCTGAGGAGTGGGACAGCTTGCTAGCAGGGGGGAATGGGGCCAACAGAGGGCAGGCAGTGGAAATGAGGAGCAAAGGAGCCCAGGCGATGAGCAAGGACCGCTCCCTCCTGATCCCAGAGCACGGAGAGTGGAGAAGAGGTGGGAACAGCGCAAACCAACCCGACAACTGGGAGGAGAGCACCCTGCCCCTCTTCATGGCACATCGGGGATTGAGACTTAAGAAGATGCTATGGGGAGGGGCATTTGTCAGGAACAAATGCTGAATTTTTACTTGAAGTCAAAAGAGTCATCAAACTATATGTACCAACAACTCCCAAAACAAACAAAAAAACAGATTACCCATAACAATCAGGAAACTTCAATCCAAAAAGAAATCACTTTGGTGGAAAAACAAATCTGGTCACATTGCCAATTTCAAAAGCCGATACAAAAATTTATGCCACCAGATAAAGACTGAATGCACCAATTATCACATTAAACAAGAGGAAAACCTTCTATGCACCAATTCCACTCGCACTTTTTACAATTTTGTAAACAACAAACTAAAAGACTCAAGGTCCATCCCACCCATGAAAGGACCTAATGGTAAAGACTGCAACGACGACACCATTAAAACCAACATCTTTAACACATTCTTCGGCTCAGTATTTGTAAACAGCAATGGATCATGCCCAGTATTTCCTAGCTGAACCACAGACAAATACAATGATCTAATACATATCGATTTTACAGAAGATAATGTTGAAAAAGCACTATGCAATCTAAAACCATCTCTGTCTATTGGACCGGAGGAAATATGTGCCTACTTCTTAAGAAAGCTATCCACTGCCATAGCCAAACCTCTAAGCATAATCTTTGAAAAATCTTTCAGGACCAGCTCCTTGCCAAAACTATGGTCACAAGCCACGGTCATCCCCATCTTCAAAAAGGGAGACCCCAGCCTAGTTGAAAATTACAAACCAATCTCCTTATGCTGCGTCACCTGTAAAGTCATGGAATCAATTATTAACCAATCCATTATCCTCCACTTAGAGACAAACAACCTACTCTCCAATAAACAATTTGGTTTCAGGAAAAACTATCCTGTAATCTGCAACTC